AGTATTATGGGCATGGAAAAACTTAAACTCAGATAATTTGACAGAATGTTTCCATATTCCTCCTACATCCTTTTCAAACTAGAGTGGTGTGATGAAGAACTCCAACATACATAATAAATAAACTTTAAAATATCCGAGAAGGAAACATTCTAGGGGGAAAGTTTGAAATTTTTATCATTTTTATGCTAAAATAAGAGGGGACTCTATAAAGTCTGGGTCAGCCCTTTTCAGGTGGGTGGCTGGCAAGCACCTTCTCCCCTTCTGTGGCTTGTCTTTTTGCTTTGTTGATTGTGTCCTTAGAGATACGGAAGCTCTTGGACTTGATCACATCACATTTATTTATTTTTATTGTTGCTGTGATTGCCAGAGGGGTCTTCTTCATAAATTCTTTTTCTAGGCCAACAATTCTTTTTCTAGGATTTAAGAATTTTTCCTATACTTTCTTCTAGAATTTTTATAGTTTTGTAGCTTTAAATCTTTCATCCAATATGAGTTAATTTTTGTAAGTGGTGAGAGGTGCAGTTTCAGTTTCAGTCTACAAAGAACTCAAGCAAATCAACAAGAAAAAAAATCAAACAACCCCATCAAAAATCAGGTAAGAGACATGAACCAGGACACTTCATAAGATAGACTAACGGCCAACAAATGCATGAAAAAAATGTTCATTGTGGGTAGCACCTGTGGCTCAAGGAGCAGGGCACTGGCCCCATATACCGGGAGTGGTGGGTTTAAACGCAGTCCAGCCAAAAACTGCAAAAAAAAAAAATGTTCATTGTCTCTAATCATCAGGGAAATGCAAATCAAAATCACATTGAACTAGGTCACCTAACCCCCAAGAGAATGGCTCACATGGAAGTCCCAAAGCAACAGATGCTGACTTGGATGTGGAGAGAAAAGGAACACTTTTGTATTGTTGGTGTGACTGCAAACTTGGGCGACCTCTGTGTGAAGCAGTATGGAGATTCTTCAAAGAACTAAAAGTAGACCTACTATTTGATCCTATAATCTTCCTACTAGCTATTAACCCATAGGAAAAAAAGGCGTTCTGTCATAAAGACACTTGCATGCCAATGTTTATAGCAGCATTTACAATCGCAAAGATATGGAAACAACCCAAGTGCCTTTCAACACATGAATGGGTTAATAAGTTATGGTGTGTATACCACGGAATATTATTCTGCCATCAAAAGATGGAGATTATGTATCTTTTGCAACAGCCTGGACTGGATTGGAGACCATTCTCCTAAGTGAAATAGCACAAGAATAGAAGAGCAAACTCCACACATACCCAGCACTAAATCGGAACTGGTAGATTAACACCTACCTGCTCACATGTGCGGAAAAAAGAATTTCAGGCAGCGGGGAGGGGGGAAGGGAGAAGGGATTGGGTGAATTGCCACCCGAAGGGTACACTGCAGGGGCACATGGCACACCACCGGGGTGTGGGACACACCTTCTAACTGGATTTTAACCTCTCAAATGCAAACTATGGAATCTAATCGTTTGCACCCACACATTAATGTGAAATTAAAAAAAAAAAGTAAGAAGAGACTCCTTTGAGAATTTAAAATTCGTAGAGATTTTAAAATGTAAAACTTGAGACTTCAAAGAAATTGTGTACAGTACTTTTCCCTTATCCACAATTTTGCTTTCCAAGGTTTTAGTTATGTATGGTCCGCCAAGGCCCAAAAATATTAAATGGAAAATTCTAGAAATAAGTGCTTAATAAGTTTTCAGTTGCAGGTTGTTCCAGGTAGTGTGATGAAACCTCACTGCGCACCTCTCAGGATATGAGTTATCCTTTTGTCCAGCATGTTCTTGTGTGTAGATTTCCTGCCCTTTAGTCACTTGGTCGTGGTCTCTGTTATCAGACTGACTGGATGTGGCAGGGCTTGTTGTGTTCACATAACCCTTATGTTATTTATAACAGTTTCAAAGTGCAAGAGTAGTGATGTTGGCAATTTGGATATGCCAACATGAAGCCGAAAAATACTTCCTTTAACTGAAAAAGTGAAAGTTCTCAACTTAAGAAAGAAAGGAATAAAAACTAATATTGAGGTTGCTAAGATCTACAGTGAGAATACATCTCTCCAGGAAATTATGAACAGTACATTGTTACAAAGGTTCTATTTTATTTCTAGTTGTTTAATCTCTTACTGTGCCGAATTCCTAAGCTATAGGAAAAACCAGTACTTGGAGAGTTTGGTACTCTCCGAGGTTTCAGACACCCCCTGGGTTCTCGCAGTGTATCCGGGTGGATAAGGGGGAACTACTGTACTTGGTGCAGTTTGCTTTAGGCCCCAGATCTGCCCAGGATTACAAGCCCATTCCTCCTTGCTGGTAAGGATCCTTCCCTGGAAATGAGTGAGGAGCGTTGATCATATGTTCCTTCATGGGAATATGTGTCAACTTTTGACAGGGACTGCATGGCAGACAGTTTGTTCCTCAAGAAGGTCAGGTATTTGTGTCAATTGGAAAAAAAAAATCTGTCTGCTCGGGTTACCGGGAGTGTAGATGATAAAATGACATTTCTTCTGGAAACTGAAGAGCCAAACTTGTTTTGTCTGGAAGGATTTATGTCCTTATTTTAGAAGGAAAATAAGCTACAGAAATGCCAAATTCTCAGAAGACAGTTCTGGATTAAATAGTTAAACATGAAAGGTGTTTTCACAGAGCCTAGCAGGAGGATGGTAGCCTGGACTGCTGAGAACCTTGAAACCAGCTGTTCCTAAGTTAGAGCCTTCACAGCACTCATTCACATACTCAGCACTTAGGAGAACCACACCCCACTTGGGTAGATACAGATGCGTTTCTAGGTGGTTTGTTTTACCTGTTCAATGGTGTTATTCAGCATTGTTCACTTCAGTGTCCAGATAAGACGACCTGAAATAGTATTTCTCATTTGCCGTGGTCAGTGGTCCTTTCCCCAACACTGATCGAATAATTGGTCGTGTCTGCGTTTTATTCTTACTATTTAAATCTTTAATTTCAATAATTATAGGTATTTTTTGAATAGTTAATAAACTCACATGGTTCAAAATATAAATAAACACTGAAAAGTCTCTGCCTCCAAATCCTGTCTCCTGACCTTTGTTTCACTCTCCAAAACAGTATTACTATTCTAGTTTCTGGTATATTTTTTAAAAGGTGCTTCATGTAAATGTAAACAAATTTGTATGTGTTCTTTTTTCCCTTTTAAGGCAAATACAGTACACTATGCACTGTGTTCTGAATCTTTAAGATTGCTTCACTTAGTGTATTTTGGCGATTGCTCCATATTACACTAAGAGGTTTACTCACTTTTAATTCTTTCCCTGGGCACATTGTTCCACTCTGTACACGTATCATTTCTTTAAGCCGTCGCATACTTACAGACACTGAATTGTTTCCAGTCTTCTGTTGTTTACAATGATTCTGTGACTAACTTTTAACTGATGTTATTTTAGGACATGTAACCATAGACTCACTTTGTCGAAGTGGGCTGCCAGGTCAAAGCTATGTGTGTTTGTAATGAACTGTAGAAATTGGACCAGTTCACGTTCATACCATCAATGTGTGAAGATTTTGGCAATCTTTGAATCAGGAATATAGGTTTGCTGCTAATCCTCTTTAGCATACTCTTAGTTATATTTTTCTAGGTATATTCAGGTGATGCAAACTCAACATTTTAGAGGGTTCAATGAGTTATTCTCAATTAGAGTTGTGAAGTGGAAATTGCTAGTGGAGTCTTTTCAGAATACCCGTGCAGTGGCCGCACCTCACATCTACTGAACCAGAATCTTGATGGGGCAAGGTGAGGTTGCACCTGGTACCGACATTTTGAAAGGCTGTAGAGTTCATGACTAGGTGTACAACTAGACACCCCTTCTTGTATTTGAAACTTTCCTGTTAATAAACCGAAGAACTTGTGCAAGTTTGAAGGGAGGTATGAAGTATTTTATTTCATTATTTTGTAGTTTTCTCAATTCAACAAATACTGTACTCCTGTGATGTTGGTCATAGCTTATCATGGTTCCATGCAACTGCAGACAATTTAACAACTGGACATGAGGGAAAACTGTTATTATAAAGGAATTTTAAGAAAGAAAGGATTTATCAAAGTATGTATCATGGACTTTAAACAGACTTTGGACTTTTTCCCTTAAAAGTATATGTTATAAGGCATATTCACTTTAAACTATTTTAAAATAAGCTTGCTGACAGGGTTAATAGCTTTCTCCTCGCCTCATACTGTTTTAAATAGTGTAGGAGTCTCAAGCCACCACCAGGTGTCAGAACGCACTTACATATTGTCCCACGCTTCCTAAGCCAGCGTACCTACCATCAGGCACAGTCTGACTTCTGGTATATTTGGTTTCTAATGATTATAGTCATACTGTTTTGAAAGGAGTGTTTCAGTATCTGAACAAAAAACCTGTCTGTCATTTGTGTCGCTGTTAACTTACAGAATTTTCTTTCATTTTAAACCACTGTTAAGTTGCCGATTTATGATTATCAGCGCCTGTCTCCTGAACTCAAACACAACAGGAACTCGGACGTGTCTGAGAGCAACTCTGCTTCCTAGTCATCCTCCTTCTGCTGAACATTTCTGTTACAGTTATAACTTTTTAAAATTTTAGAATAGGAGAATTTAAAGGGCATAAAGCCTGCTCCCCCTCATATGGCACTGAGTATACTATTGCTTCATAAGGGGCTTTAAAAATCTATAAGAATTTCTTTTTCCTTCCTTTTCAAGAATGTGATATAGCCATGTCCAGATGTAACATCCCCTGGTTGAAAATCGCTAAGTATCGTAAGAATTGTTTTGGTTGGGAGATATTCCTGAGGGAAGAGAGTTGCTCAAACTAGAATAGAGGCAGGAAAAAAAATGGTTGAGAAGCATTAAATTCACTGGCTTCCATTTAGACATTGACCATCTGCTGGTCTGGTCCAGTGGGATCAGGAGGCTGGGGAACACAGTTCTTGGAGCTTGGTAGTTATTTTGGTATTGTTGGAAGTATATTTATTTGAGGGAAGGTTCAGAAAAACTTTGTTGGAAAAGAAAGCCTAAGGTCAAAGCTAGAAAAAGCATCCTATGAAATCAGCTCCATGGGGCATTTGCCAAAAACAGAGTCAAGGTTAGGCTAATGAGCTGGGTAAACACTGGAGCTGGACGCCAAATTCTCGATTTTTAGGGTCTGAGCTTTGTCCAGGGACAGAATGCTCTTTTGTTGGGTGCTAGCTGACTGATGTCTGGGTAAGTTTCCCAAGTTACGGAGGGACTTTTGTGCAGTAGAGGGAAACAGACCTTGAATGAAGGCTTTCAATGACTAACCTGAAATCCCCTGCATTTAAGGGAATGGCCTATCATGTTAGGTACCCCTTGCTGCATAACAAATTACCCCAAAGCATAGTTAATAGTTATTACTGTCTCACCGTTACTGTGGGTCCAGAATCTGGGGACAGCTTAGTTCTTCCTCTGTCTTACGGTCTTTGACAAGGGTGCAATCCTGATATCAGCCAAGACTTTAGTCATGTCAGGACTCAAAAGATTCCCTGTCAATTTCACTCATGCATGTGTTGACATGGTTCAGGTGCTTTTACACCATTAACTTGAGGGTCTCAGTTACACGCTGTTTGATGATTAGAGACCCTTACTTCCTTGCCCTGGGTCCTTTCCATCCAGTAACTAACCAAGTAAATATAGTGGCTGCTTCATGGGAGTCAGCAAGCCAGAGAGAGAGAGAGAAAACAAGCATGGTGGATGGTCACGTTTTTTATAACTCAGTGTCACACGTGACATCACATTTCCTGTATTCTGTCATTAGAAGCAAGTCACGAGGTCCAGGCCACACTCGAGTGGAGGGAATTACAATGTGTGTGGTACCAAGAAGTTGGGGATCGTGTGAGTATTTTAGAAGCTGCTTATCACACATACTGACTGGTGTCTCTTCTGATTAGATGGTGCTGTAGCCACGGTGCTTATTAAATCCTTTAATATCATCACTGGTCTTACAATTTTTGTCAGAATTAGAGCTGAAATTATATCAACTTTTTGCTTGTTTGTTTTCTGAAATAGGCTCTCTCTCTGTTGGCCCATGTTAGAGTGCAGTGGCATCATCCTAGCTCACTGTAGCCTTAAACTCCTGGCCTCAGGGGATCCTCTCACCTCAGCTTCTGCAGTTGCTAGGACTATATGTATTCACTGCCATGCCTGGCTAATGTGTTTTGTTTTGTTTTTATGGCAGTGAGGTCTTGCTGTATTGCCCAGGCTAGTCTCTAGCTCCTGGCTTTAAGTGATCCTCCTGCCTCAGCCTCCCAAAGTGCCATGATGATAGTCCTGAGCCAGCTATGTCCCGTACATCACCAACTTTTGATACTGATGATCTTCACAGCCTATAATATGTATATGTGGAGGAACATAAACTTCTCACCAGAATACAAACTCCATAAGGATAGGGACAGCGTCTGAATAGTTTTCTCATGTTTTTTTGTGTGTGTGCCTAACATAGTGCCGGGTACTCATATGTATTTGTTAAATTAAGGAGTTCATAAAGAGCTTTATCAGATTATAAACTAAAACAAAATTAACTCCCTCCTTTGCTTTAAAAAGAGCAATACAATTACCAGGTGAGAGAAAGATGCAGAGGCTGTGATATTCAACGATCAGACAATTAAGTTCCTGAGCCTGCCACTGTGCGTTTATGTTGGCAGCAGTGTGAACGGTGTGATAAGGTTTCATGACCTTGGTACATCAGTGTCTCTCCGCTGTGTTCATGCCGATGTGTGGCGGTGTCTCGCTGAGTGGTGGTGTTCTCATTGTGTCTTTTTGTGTACCATCACAAGAATGTGGGTGCTTGAGTTAGAACAATGAACAAACATTAAATTTCTTGTTAAAGTGGTCAAGATTGGTGAAATCAGGGCCATGTTAGTCCAAGTTTACGAGGATAACGGCATAAAGAAAACAGCAGTGTACAAATGGATTAAACATTTCTTCCGAGAGGAGAGAAAGCATCCTTGATGAAGAGAGGTCAGGGTGACCAGTAACAAGCAGAATGACGAGAACAGTGCAAAAATTCATTGACTTATGCGTCCAAGCCGTCAGCTGACCGTGAGAAGCATAGTAGGTCAAGTAATCATCAGGAGAGACACAGCAAAATCTTCACTGAAAATCTTGGCATGAGAAAGGCGTGGCTCTTGCACTAGGACAATGCACCAGCTCCCAGGGCACTGTCTGTGAAGAGGTTTTTAGCCAACAAATAAACAGCTATATTGGAACACCCTTTCTACTCACCTGACTGCCCCCAATGACTTTTCCCTTTGCCTGAACACAAAGGAAATACTGAAAGGAAGATATTTTGATGATATTCAGGACATCAACAGTAATATGGTAACAGCTCTGATGGCCATTCCAGAGAAAGAGTTCCAGGCTTGCTTTGAAGGGTGGACTCGGTGCTGGCATTGGTGCACGGCTCCCAGAAGGGAGGACTTTGAACATGAGCATAGTGATGTTCAACAGTGAGGCATGTAGCACTTGTTCTAGAATGAGTTCGTGAACTTGTCAGACGTCATAAGCAATCACTTCCCCCCAAATTCTAATAGACTTCAATGCGTATGTCTTTGCTACCATTCACCACTGGACTCTCCAAAGAAGAGTGTCGAGTTGAGTCCTCGGCCTGCTCCTTCTCAGCAATATTGTTTCTTACACCTTCAGAGTCTCCACCGTGTGAGACTTTGCTCACGTGGAGCTCTGTGTCCTTAGACCCAACACACTGAGCTGGAAACCATTATCTTCTGCCCCAACTAGCTCTGCCCTCATCCCTGCCCCTTCACCGTATCTTTTATGGTGTTTATTTCCTGGATTTCTACTTTTTAAGCCTTCAGGTTACTTTTCAGCCCTTCCTCCCTCCCTCTTGAACTTTGTTTCCAAGTCGTGTTTATTCTTTTTTCCTTCTTTCCCACCATAATCTCAGTCCTATTGCCTTGCAATAGCAGTTGGTCTCCCTAAGGCAAAGTCTGTGCCCTCTCTAATCTCTGAGTCTTCCTTCAACCCGGGTCAGGTTGTCTTTTCTTGCACTTAATGCTCCAGCGATGGTCTTCACTCTTTAACTTTGGCATTCACAGGCCCCATCCCGTTCCTTCCATTTTACCACCTGGCCATCTTTGACCTGCGCAGCCCACATTCTCGGCCTCCCTTCATTTGTGCTAGCCCGTTTCCGTTTCAATTCATATTTTTTTGGTTCTTTGATCAAGGTTTTGTGGGTCCAGATACATAATCTTTTAAAAACCTCTTTAAGAAAAAGAACACAATAGCAAGAATACAGAATTAGGGACCGAGCTTAGAAATGGCCCAAGAAAATGGGGGAACCTGAAGATTAAACTGTACTGCACTAGTGTCACTCTGCCGTAGTCCCAGCACTTCCATTTGGCTTCTGCTCTAGCCAAAGGTCTTCTTTGCTCCTCCGGGAGGCCTTCTCTGCTAAGCTCCGCTGACTCTGCTATCCCTCTCAATCGACTGAAGGCAGGGATCATGTCTTACACAACTTTCTAGTCCCCTAGAGTCTTACACTTTGAATTTGGTGATTACTGAAGAAAACATTGCTTATTTCTAAATTCAACTATTACAAAGGTAATCACATACAGTCTAGAAGTTTCTTACATATGCATCATGTTTTAAAATAGTTGTTCATGAAATGCTAAGCTGCTATTAGAGCCCTGGGGAAGTTTCTGTTATATATTGTGAAAGATTATGTAAATTCAGTTTCCTTGTACAATATTATATGTTCTGTATTCGTATGTGGCATAGGCCTTATTTTTAGAGGTCAGCTTTTATAACAATCAAAAGTGATCTTTTTAGTTGATAGATTGTGGACATGACAATTGTAAGAAAACATTTTTATAAAATGCTAAAATCTTCCGATGATTAAGAATCACGATATTCAGAGAATGCTATGCCAGGATTCATTTATTCCTGTTGTTGTTTTCTTTAGGTTTTGAATCTCTTTGTGAGAAGTCTCTATTCTGTGTCCTCTCTGCTGTTCCAGGACTCACTCAAGAAGGCCTTTTCAGGGTGAACGGCAACATGAGGGTGGTGGAACAACTTCGCTTGAAGTTCGAGAGTGGAGGGCCCGTGGAGCTGGGGAAGGACGGCAACGTCAGCTCTGCGGCCAGTCTGTTGAAGCTCTTCCTGCGGGAGCTGCCCGACAGCCTGATCACCTCGGCCCTACAGCCTCGCCTCCTGCGGCTCTTTCAGGGTTAGTATGGCAAATCCCGCAGGAGTTAAAACAATTCTAGTTTTCAGTGAAAGCCAAGCTTTTAACCATTTAACGTTTCACTATTAAAATAAGCTCTTACATATTTATGGTCTTTCCGTAACCACCACCTTTGCTATTCTGCCCCAGGCCTTCATCTCCTACCTAAACCGATTAGGAGATGCCATTATGAACTGGAATTTCTGAGACCACTGGCATATGAATACTTCAGTAATATAATATTGAGAAGATCTGACACTTTGGGGTCAAAGAAATTCTTTTCTGACTAGAGATTGCTACAGAAAGAGTGAAAAGAATAATGTAGAAAATATTAGAGAATGATTTAGAAAACTTTAATTAAATTGTAGTTGGTTAGTGACCTTCAAGACCAAAAGCTCATTGGTATGCTTGCTTTTTTTTTTTTTTGGTAAGTAAGATTGAGTCCTAAAATAATGGTCTTTATTTTATGAGGCAAAACTTGGTTTTTGATTTTGTAATATGAAGGAATTCCTTTTTAAGTGTAATAATTATAACATAATCATTATTGAGTTTTTCTTCCTAAATACGGTAAGAGAAAAATGTATTTCTAAGAGCAGTAGTGGCTAGATTAAGGATGTTACTTAAGCCTGGTGTGGTGCTGTGCCCCTGTTATCCCAGCTGTATTCCCACACTCCCAGCTTGGACTCGGGACTTTGAGACTAGCCTGGGAGACATAGCAAGACCCTACCTCTTTTCTCTTCTTTTTTTTTTTTTTTTAAGGAAGTCACATTCCTTTACAGCAGTGGGTAGAATATTCACATGTAGTATATTAAAGAATGAGATAAGTTGAGAAGGCAAGATAGGATGAGGAAGAAAGTGCCAGAAATATTTTATCTCAGAAAAGACCATTTTTAAATATTAGGTACAAGTGGTGAGGTTATGTTGGAAGATTGCACTGACCACCACCACTGGCCATCCACTACCAGGGAGATCCGCCGGTAGCTCCCAAGGCCGTCGTGTTAGCAGCGCCGTCTTGCCTCGCCCCTTCTCTCCCTCTGCAGCCCCTGCCTTCCCCAGGTGGTCCTTTCAGAAAATTACCCATGTTTTGTTTCTTTCTTTAGAGTTCCTGTCTGGTCCTCAGGAAACACATGCACATCTTTGTCAAGTTCTTAAATTGGAGATCCGTCCTGGGGCACAGCCCTCTCTCTGTGCTGACACCCAGGGCACCCCTAGCCAGTCACTTACACTCTTCCGGGTGGCTCAGACTCTTCCAGGAGTTTTAGGCTCTTCAAACTCCACAAATGGTTTATTTCATCCCCCTTCTCCTGGCCTGGGGGGAGTTAGGGATGTTCTGGTTCTCTACAGTGCTTTTAAGCTTTCCATGTCATTAAGTGACATTTGGTAAGTGTCATCTTTGAGGTTTGTCAATTGGAAACCAAGCATTTTCGCGAACGAACTTTTTAGCATTTACATGTGTGAACATTTCAAGGAGGTAACTATTGCTTCTATTTGGAGACTTTAAATTATTTTTATAAGGAATGTTTTATTCATGGCATAGGGATGTGAAGTTTTGAGATAAATTTTTGGAAATTATGTTTAAATAATTGCTGTGAAAGCTAGTTGAAGAAGTAAATATTTATACTTAATACCAAATATTTAGTAATGAAGTATCTCTATTCTTTATTTTATTCTTAATGTTATTATGTAGTATTCTTTATTATCTCGTATTCTTAGTACTCAGAAATCTTGTGAATTTCAAAAGCTTTTATCCCATCTCCTGAAGAGTTTTCATTTCATGAGAGAATGCATTGTTTTATTATTTGTGTTGCTATTTATAGTAATATTTTTGCTTCAGGCCTTCTTGGCAGGTTATCTTCTTTTTTTATAACATAATTCCTCAGTGGCCAAAAGGTTGATATGTATCTTAAAGCAAGTAGCTACATTATAAAGGTCATACAGTGTGCCATTACATCATATGAAATCATTCACAAATAACATATTTTGAATGGGGCAGAGAGATTGAATTTTTACTCTATTGGTATGATTGTGTCCCTGAAACCTCTGGGGTGAAATCTGAGACTTTTATAAAGAAAGCATGTGTCACATAAAGATAGACACCATCTGAGAAGTACGTCATCAGGCAGTTTCTTCACGGGTAAACGTCGTAGAGTGCGCTGATGCAAACCTGTGCAGTGACACACAGTATATGCTGAGGCTGTAGGGTACACCCTGTTGCTCCCAGGCTACAAAGATGTATGGCGCATTATTATACTGGATACTGTAGGCAGTTGTAATACAGTGTAACTATTTGTGTGATGTTATTATATTGGGTACTGTAGGCAGATGTAACACAGTGGTAACTGTTTGTGTGTCTAAAGGGAAAATGTACAGTAAAAATACAGTATAAAAGATAAAAAATGGTCTACTTGAAAAAACACTTAGCTTGCCTGGAACTTGCAAGACCGATGTTTCTCTGGGTGAGTCCGTATTCCATGGCAGGTGAATATGAAGGCCTAGGACAATACTCTGCACTACTACAGACTTCATAAACACTGTACACTTCAGCTACACTGAATTTATGAACAAATATTTTTCTCCCATAATAAATTAACTTTAGCTTTCTATAATTTTTACTTTATTAAATTGTTAATTTTTTTTTTTTTTGCAGTTTTTGGCCAGGGTTGGGTTTGAACCCACCACCTCCGGTATATGGGGCCAGCACCCTACTCCTTTGAGCCACAGGCACCACCCTAAATTGTTAATTTTTAAAAACTTTTTATAATGACACTAAACTTTACACACACACATTGTACAGTTATACAAAAATATTTCCTTTCTATCCTTATTCTGTAAGCTTTTTTCTATTTAAATTTTTTTCTTTTTCCTTTTTACATTTTAAACTTTTTTGTTAAAAACAAACACACAAGCACACACTTTAGCTAGGCCTGCACAGGCTCAGGATGGTCAGTATTACTGTTTTCTACCTCCACATCCTTTTTCCGCTGGAAGGTCTTCTGAGGTAGTAACAGGCACGGAGCTGTCATCTCCCATAGTGACAGTGGTTCTGGAGGAGCTCCTGAAGGGCCTGCCTGAGGCTGTGTTATAGTTGTGTGTGTGTGTGTGTGTGCACTCTAAAATAACGATGAAAAGTATAGCATTATGAGTCCTCAGTGTCATCAGTAGGTTCTTGGAAACTGCAACTTCAAGAGAAATGACACTAAAGTAACTAATTTTCCCGTAGACTGATAATTTTCCCTTTGATTGATACAAACAATAGTTTAGTGCCTCTGGTGAAGTTCTGGTCATGAAAGTACCACTGAATTTCTAAGTAAAGACCCAGAACTCTTCTAATATTCAAGCATTGAAAGAATTATGAACTACATATACATTTAAGAAAGATTAGTGAAAACAAATAAAATGATCCTGTACCCAAGTTTTGGCAAATTAGTGAGTGGCAGTGGTGGGACTGGTGGTGGGTTGAACCAAGGAGTGCACGGTGGCAAAGTGCACCTGATCAGGAACACGTCCTCCCGCCGAGCGGCTCAAAGATACTCACCAGTGGGGTGGCCCCCTGAGCAGTTCAGGATAGTGAGTGGCCAAAGCCCATCCTGGCAGCTCAGGGTGCAAGGTGGAAACCAGCCCTGACATGGTGTCTTTCCAACACAGGGGACTCTTGACACCCGCACTCACGCTGGGACCAGTGAGACTTGAGACAAGACAGTCCACCTAATGTGCATAGTTTTGGGATACAAGAGAAAAGCAGAGCACCCAAGGGAAACCCACATGAATAAGAGAAAACACGCAAACTCCACGCACACGGTGGCTCGGGCCAGGAACTCCTCTCCCCACCCCCATCAGTTTTGTAACAGAGTGATGTGGAATGGAACAATGTTATTGGAGGACCTGGTACATAGAAAATATATAAACCAGTAACATGGTCATCTACCACCAGTAAGTATGATGTGCTGTACATAATTGTATGACTGTGCTTTTATAGGACTGACGGTGCAGTGGGTTTGTTTACACCACCTTCTCCACAAACTCATGAGTAATGCATTGCCCTGTGACAACGTGAGACAGTTAAGGCATCGCTAGGTGACAGGAGCTTGTGAGCTTCATTATGTTCTTACAGGACTGCTGGACCACCCTTGTATGGGCAGCCCCTGGTGGGCTGAAACATTGCCACATGGCGCACGTCTATAACTGGGTGCCCACTAGTTATGAAAGCTGCTGACTAGAGGGAACAAACTATGTTTTAGGTGTCAGACAATAGAGCCTCTGTGAGATAAATTCTCTCTAACAGTTCAGGTAGAACCATAGATTAGAAGAGCGCTGTGCCCCTACCGGCTAACCCTGTCTGCGGCACTCTTGGAGTGGAGGATGCACAGTGCACTGGTCACTCTGAAGCGAGCGTGGCAGAGCTCTTTGCAGACAGTGGAGAGGTTTGGCTTTCAGTGTCTGCTGAAACAGATGTTATGCTTAGCCAGTTACAGTTTTCTCATCTGTCCTTTTCTACTGTAATTAATATATTATGAAGTTGCTTTGACATGATTGCCTTGGGGAAGACTACCTTTCTTTCATAATTCAGTCCTTGTAGTAACAGATTAAATGGTTTTCTTGGTCTTCTGTCCTGACTCAATGACAGATTTTTTTTTTTTTTTTTGGTCTCACTCTGTCACCTGGGGTTGAGTACCGTGGCACCATAGCTTACAGTAACCTCAAACCCTGGGCTCAAGTGATCCTCATGCCTCAGCCTCCCAAGCAGCTGAGACTACAAGTGAGTGCCACTACACCTGGCTAATTTTTCTGTTTTTACTAGAAACGGTGCTTTGCTTGAACTCTTGAGTTCAAGCCATCCTTGGCCTGACTCAGCCTGCCTTGGCCTCCCAGAGTGATAGGATTACAGGTGTGAGCCACTGTGCCCAGACAGATTTCTTTCTTTCTTTCTTTCTTTTTTTTTTTTTTTTGAGACAGAGTCTCACTGTCACCCTTGGTAGAGTGCTGTGGCATCACAGCAACCTCAA